GGGCTCATCTGATTAGCACAACTGATCTGCCAGCTGGATGGATCTCAAGTAAAGTTCAAACTGGCATTTGGCAAAATATCCCTGTACCCAGCATTTTACATGGAATACAAATTAAAGATGCATTCCGGGATTGCCCTGAGAACCAAAAATTTGCATGGTAACATGAATATATTCAATAGATATCCTCTTTATGCTAATATATTATCCTCTTTATGTTAAATTTGCAAGATGAGCAGTTTAAATAATACTTCAAATTCTGTGCTTGAATTCTGCTTACATTCATTCTGTGTAAGTCTGTTGGTGTCTAACACTGGATTAAGAAAGACTGCCATCTGGTAGTTATAGCAACCCTTTACTAACGTGATCGGAAGTCGAAGACCATGAACCTCAAAGAAATGCAAACCAGGTTTATTACTATGAATATATCAAAATCTTAAAAAAAAAAAAGGCATTGAATCGGGCCTTTCACTTAAAGAGAACACTGTGTGTGCTTGCACATTCATGCATTATATAATCGACCTACAAAAGTCAAGTTTTAAAAGGGGTTAAAAGGATGAATGATTGAATTAAATAAGCAATTAGGTCTACATTCCCTTCACCCACAAGGCTGCCACTGTCCTTTTTATAAAGCCTAGGGATGAGAGCCAAATTAGTCTGACTTGCTGGCCACTTAACTCTAACTTCCCTTAATCATGTGAGTGTTCTTGGGTACACATTTTTTCCTATCAATAGTGTTTCAGGTAAGCAACACTTCAGATGCAGAGTAAATAACAGTATAAAAACACTAATAACGTGAATACAGCACATGAGCCTATCCAAAGTGTTTTCAAACTCATCATGATCTTATTAAAACATGAAGGTAAAGTCAGAGAGGGAGAAAGACAATGATTATCTCAGACTCTGTAGTTTCCTAGGGTTACAAGGTTAGGGATGGTAGAGCTGGGAGAATTGGGTCTACATCTCCTAGTTAGAAATTCCGTTTTCTTTCTAGTATATCACAGGTTCTTCCCTGAAATAACAGTATTTTACATTTACATGGCTTCTAGTACTATAAATATAATGTGTATACATGAATAAAAGGGCTTTGCATTTTGAACTTGCCTAAACCTCCCTGTGGCCCACCTCCAGTCTAGTTTCACTCCTTGAACCTCTTTGATCTTCCTTTTCTCCCTTTATTTTTTTTCAGTCACTACCATTTACTTGAGCCAAGTGAAGGCAGCAGAGTAAATGCCACATCCAGCCTTCCAGAGCATTCATGAATTATGACTACATCTACTCCAATTTACAGACAAACAGGCCAACACATGGACTATTTCTCTCTTGTTCTCAATTCTTCACGCAATAATGTAAAGGACACAGCCATTAAGAGATGACTGAGGATTATACAAGACTTATCCAGCTCAATATGCTTATTCTATCCCATTATTTCATTTCAACCCCCTTTATTAAAAAAAAACAAAAAACAAACCCTTTGTTTATTAAAAACAAAAACCCTTCCTTATATGGCCAGTCTCTGAAGTCTTAAGATTTGATAGCCCTGGAATTTGGAGAAATTCTCCTCTTGTGTCTCTTCCTGAAGGCATCTGAAACATTCTTTGTTGACTGATTTTCAAGGTGGAAGGGATGCTCTCTCCCAGGAGGCCTCAAGATTATCTATCCTGCTCCACAGGCTGTCAATAAACATGAGTCTCTGCATTAAAGTCTGGGCTACTGCTAGGTACTAGACAGGGAAGGAAGGCAACCTGGAGTGAAGAGCACTGAGGTCATTCACCAAGACAAAAGGAACCAAAGACCAGTCAACACTATTTGGCCAGAGACCCCTTTATATTGAGCATTCTTTTTCAGACTAAAGTACACACACACAGTTAATGGAAAACATGAGTAGAGTATAATAAAGGAGAAAGAACAATGGCTCTGGGATCAGAGAGATTTGGGACGGAATCTTGATTTTGCCACATAGCTGCCACTAGCTGACCCAGGGCAAAGAACAATGTACATGGATCTCTTGTCATTTGTAATATCAATCCTGAGAACTGATGGGAGGATTCAATATTTTATGTAAAGCACCTAGCACACTATGTGATAAACGGCAAGTCCCCAATACATGGTACTTATAAATCTATCTTTTTAATCATCTAGCTTCAAGAAATTTCCTAAAGGAAATCAGTCCTGAATATTCATTGGAAGGACTGAAGCTGAAACTCCAATACTTTGGGCACCTGATGCAAAGAACTGACTCATTGGAAAAGACCCTGATGCTGGGAAAGACTGAAGGCAGGAGGAGAAGGGGATGACAGAGGATGAAATGGTTGGATGGCATCACTGACTCAATGGACATGAGTATGAGTAAACTCCCTGAGTTGGTGATGGACAGGAAGGCTTGGCGTGCTGCAGTCCATAGGGTCGCAAAGAGTAGGACACGACTGAGCGACTGAACTCGCCTGAGCTTCAAGAAGCTGGTCAGGAACTAGCAATCACTCGGAGTGGTGGGCAGAGTAACTCTCTCACTGGGAGAGTTAAAGAAGTGGGCAGAGAGTGGCCGCCTGTGTGCAATGGCTCTTAGAACAGCACAGAATAGGAAGCGGCCCAGCCAAGTCAGCTGGAAGAGCTGTCGCTGAGGCGTCTGGAGGGGGCATTTCCCTGAGCCTCTGCAAGCTCCAAACAGTAAGAACACAATGTAAACTCTTGACAACAGCACTGTCCAATAGAAATAAAATGTGAGCCACAACTGCTTTTATATTCTTCAGCAGTCACATTAAAAATGTAAAAAGAAACAGGTGCAATTAATTTAACAATATATTTTATTTAGCTCAATATATAAAAATATCATCATTTCAACATGTAATAAATATTAAAAATTGAGTTCCTTTACAGTCTTTTTCTTCTGCAAAGTCTCAGAAATCTAGCATGTATTTTCCACTTAACACTATATCTCAATTAAGTCTTAGTTACATTTCAAGCAGTCAGTAGCTATACACAGCAAGTGCCTGAGTTACTGGGCAGTGGGGCTCTATAATCCTGACCCCAAGCCTGGGCACAGTCCAAAGAGTCTATCCTTTTAAAACTCATTATTCACCATCCCACTGTGTGCATGCATGCTAGGTCACCTCAGTCGTGACCAACTCTTTGCGATCCTATGGACTGTAACCTTCCAGGCTCCTCTGTCCATGGGATTCTTCAGGCAAGAATACTGGAGTGGGTTGCCATGCCTTCCTCCAGGGGACCCTCCTGACCCAGGGACTGAACCCCCACCTCTTATGTCTCCTTTACTGGCAGGCGGGTTCTTTACATTAGTACTACCTGGGAAGCCCCACTATCCCACTAGGGACCTTGAAAGCCTCGTTATTAAAAAACCTCACTTTTAACACCTCTGGAAAAGCAGTGAACTAATCAGCTAACATTTCAACAGAGATTATCTGAGATAGGTTAGCACTTGGAAAGTCAAGAGGAAGAAAGCAAAAAAGGGATGCTGAGAAGGGAATATTAAGGAAACCAAGGACATATTTTGCCCGGTTCACAGGTTAGCCTAGATTCAGGCCACTTAATATATCTCACAAATATTTTCTAGGGCCAAGGCCTAGATTACTCTTATTACATCAAAAGCTCACACAATCAGGTATGACAAAGATCTATATAAGTATGTAACAAGTAACACCTGTAGAAAGCTGTAAGCAATGGACAGAGGAATGCCAATCACATCAATTAACACCATTTCTTGGTTGCCAATCAGCACAGTGTATTCCAATCAGGTCAGTACCTTCAAAATTCCATAAACTTGAAAGAACTTTCAATAAGACGACCTCTGTACAGGGTCACTAGAATAATATAAAAGTCTGGACAATTTGAAAAGCTGGTAACTATAAGAATCTCAGGTTATCAGTGTTAAGAATCCATGCATTTAGACAATTATGCCTTTGTTTGTTAAAGTTCAACTATAACTGTAAACAACTTTCAATCAGGTAAGAAAATATGTCATGTGGTTTGCTCTTTCACAATTCAAAAAGTACTTTCAAAGTATGTAAAATGCAACCAGATGCTATTGGCAAAGAACTGACTCTTTAGATATGACCAATTTCCAAGAACATTACCAGCAATGTGACCTACACATTGGGTGCATGCAAAGCTTTGAAAAGTTCATATCTAATCTAATCATTTATTCAAAACACTCCACGCTTTCCCACATTTCAGTGGTGTTTCAAATTTATAAATAAATTTTTCAAAATGCACAGAGAATCAGAAATACATGTATGATTGAAACCTCCCTCCTTCCAAATAGATTCAGAACATGCTACCCGGCTAATGACACTGAAAGCCCCCTTTCTATCTAAAAATACAAACTGATGGTAATGTCTGAGCAAGAACAATAGGTCACTTGCATTGTAACGTAAAGCTTAGTCACCAAGTGACAGCTTTCCTTTCATTTAGAAGAGATTTCCTTAGTTCCAGGTACTACACAAGTTTAAATCATCAGTATACTATTACACTGAAGACTAGCCTTCTGTAGATGCAAACGTATTTAAATTCCAAGTTGCAATAACCCTTGTGATAAAACTTTTAAAGAAACGGATAATGATGCATTTCTACCATATCTAGAAAAAGATAAAAAGAGGTATTTTGATAATTGAGATTTTTCTCTTAAATAATTAGAAACAACTACAGGTGCTATTTTTACTGATTACTGAAATAAAATTAATACTATTCATTTCTATTTCAACAATGTGGAGTATGAACTATTTCATATTATTACTTTGTGAACCTTCCAGATAATGGTCCTAAATTAAAATTTCAGTCACAATGCTTAGGGACTAGTTTGTTCTGAACAAACACTGAATCCTAGTCAGTTTAGTAAATGGATAGCTTTCCTGACTATGTTACAACATTTATTTTAGGTATACCTCCTCTTCCTTATTCCTCTCACAAGAAAGGATTTGGGCTTTTTTTTTTTTTGTCCAACATCTTAGCGAGGTGGCAGTGGTTGCAGTTGCTCTCCGGCCTTCGCTATGCCGCCCAAGGATGACAAGAAGAAGAAAAATGCCGGAAAGTCGGCCAAGAAAGACAAAGATCCAGTGAACAAATCTAGGGGCAAGGCCAAAAAGAAGTGGTACAAAGGCAAAGTTCGGGACAGGCTCAGTAACCTAGTCTTGTTTGACAAACTCTGTAAAGAAGTTCCCAACTATGAGCTTATAACTCCAGCTGTCATCTCTGAGAGATGGATGATTCGTGGTTCCTGGCCAGAGCAGCCCTTAGGAGCTCCTTATAAAGGACTTATCAAACTGGTTTCAAAGCACAGAGCTCAAGTGGTTTACACCAGAAACACCAAGGGTGGAGATGCCCCAGCTGCTGGTCAAGATGCATGAACAGGTCCCACCAGCTGTACATTTTGAAAAATAAAACTTTATTAAATAAAAAAAAGAAAGGATTTGGGAGTGGGAGACATAAGCAAGCAACAATCACTTAACACACATTTACTTAGCAACTCATAGTTACACACTTCACATGTGTTACCTTGTTTAAACTCTATTACAACTCAAGAGATGGCTATCTTTATCCTGATTTCACCTATGAATAAAGTAAAAAGGCTCAGAGAAGTGAAGTAACTTGCTCAAGGCCAGCAGGATTCTGTTCCGTTTGTGCTGCCCCCTCCTTTTGGACCCCAGCTCTCCTCACCTGCCCACAACCAGCGGAACTTGCCCTCTGAAGCTCTCATGAAGCTACACTGACAGTTCTTTAGCAATACTAGTTTTTGGTTATCACATTAGAAAAGCAAAAAATGATCAAAACAAACGTGATTGAGAACTTTTTGTTACAGATCATACACACAGATAGATGGCAAAACTTTAGCCCCCCTGGAATAAATTTCTAGTGGAAGAATCTGCAACAAAAGAGAAAGATGTTCTAGAGCTATGTGATCCAATTTGGTAGCCAATAGCCACATGTGACTGCCAGTACCTGAAATATGGCTAGTATGAACTGAGAGGTACTACAGTGTAAAATATACACAGGATTTCAAAGAATTGGTAGATTAAAAAAGAGCAAAATATTTCATTAATTTTTCACTGAATCAATACTTCAATGAATCAACATTTCATTAATACTGATTACTTGTTGAAAGGTATTTTTAAACTGTGTTCAATAAAATTCACACATGTGTCTTTGTAGTTTTTTCAACATGGATAGTAGAAAATTTTAGACTACACTTGTATTTTGAGGAAGGAAACAGCATTAGCCTAGGGCCTCCATATGAGGCTTCAAATCAAACTTTGTACAAAAGCCGTTCTTGAACAGAAGGCCCAAACTCTTATGATTAAATTCTTAAAAGAAAAGGTAGTAGGCTATCAAAACACTTTGGGGAAACCTATATAATTAATTATTCTGATCATAAATGGTAAATAATTGTCAATTCTTATAGTAACAAGCCAAACATGCGGCTTTCTCATCCACGCTCTAAAAAAATCTAAAAAGTCATCACTCCAACTTCTGGTTTCTTATACATCTGTGAACACATTTGTCTTTACTGCTTAAGACTTGTGCAAATATTAGGGTCTTCCCTCTAAATGATCATTCTAAGTACAGTAGACCACACAAGATACAGGAGTCAAAATACACCCACCTACAAGTCACGGCTTCCAATACATCCCTGACACCCTTCTGTATGCTTAATGATTTGGTTATTTCCCAGTAAAGGACCCAAGGAATTTCAGGTAATTGAAGTTTCTATTTAAAAGGCATTTTATCGTCTCTAGACCAAAATCTCAGGGAAAAGCACCAATAGAAGCTTTTAAAAAAAAAATCATAATTAAGAGAGACATGACATGGTTTTCATAATAACTCATCTATATATAAAGTTTGGGGGCTTTTTGGCTGTGTGACATGCAGGATATTAGTCTCCTGACCAGGGATGGGACCTGTGCCTGCAATGGAAGCGTGGAGTCTTAACCAGTGGAATACCAAGAATTCCTAGGCCTATAGTTACCATGAAACACTGCTAGCCCCCAAATGGTTTAAATCACCTTAATAAAACACTGAACTCAAAGCTCTTCAGTAAGTATTTTGTTGCTGTTGTTTAGTTGCTAAGACTCTTTGAGACCCTAAGAACTGCAGGCTCCCCTGGCCTTCACTGTCTCCCCAAGTTTGCTCAGATTCATGTCCAAGTACTTTTGACTTTGTACCTGCTCCTTAAAATTGATTTAAAAATAGATCAAACTATATCTTTTACACTCACAGTAAAATAAATGCAATTCTATTTTATTTATTCCCCCCATCATAAGAATAAATTTTTTCAGTTCCTCAGAAGGATGTATTATAGAAGGCCATACGAAGTATTTTGAAAAAAAGCTGGTTATCTTTTTAAACTTTTAATTGAGGATAACTGCTTTACAATGTTGTGTTGGTTTCTGCCATAAAACGCCACAAATCAGCCGTGTGTGTGTGTGTGTGTGTGTACATATCCCCTCCCTCCCAACCTATCTGAGGTGCCGGGGGGGCTCCCGGTGTTACACAGCAGCTTCCCACTAGTGATTTTCACACACAGACCTGGTTATCTTAATGCCTACTAAAACTGCTGTCATGGAATTAAGTGTCGTAGCAAAACACTGGAAAAAAAACCTGACAGAATCCATTCAAAGTCCTTCTATGATGCAACAGATGGTGATTAAAAACCTTATTTGATAAAGAGTTTAATCACAAAATTATACTATAACATTAACATTTCTAATATGTCCAATTTCTTCCTTCACTGTGCCTTACGTAAGGCACTATGCCTTATGTGCCACTTAGTTGAAAATAATAAAATTGAGGCCAGAAGTTCTATAATCTATTTTACTCAAACGAATGACCTAAAATGTTTCCTTTTCATTGGAGGATGGAACTGTTTCTCATTTAAACATGTTCTTTTCCAAAAGAAAAAAAAGTCAAGGCAGCCAAATACATCTAGTTTGAATCTTCAATATAATGTTCCTAAACATGTCAGAAACATTTACCATGTACATGACTTGTTTCAGTGGGGAGCATGCTTAAACGGGAACAATATACAGAAGGTCAGCAAAGCTTTTTGTTACAATAACAAGAAAGTTCATGACAAAGTCCAGAATTTTAGAAAAAAGCTTTACAAAACACTCCCCAATTCATTGAGAGATTAAAACAAACAGAGACAGGTACCAACTCTTTCTTGAAAAGCAGCTTCAAATCCCTAAGAGACAAAGGTCTCCCATCCTAAGGCTAAGTGAATTCTGGTCAATTCCCTCACCCCAGAAATGCATGAATGGGTTAAGATGGCTGAGAATGTAATAAAGTAGAAAAAGCACTGGCCTGAGAGTCAGGGATAACAGTTTTGAGTCTAGATCAGCCATTTTGAAGATGTCACTTTACTTAATCAAACAAGGTCACTGATCCATAAAAATGCAAAGGTTTCCAAAATTCTATGGGTCTAGATTTCATCCTCCTCCTCAGTCTACCAAGCTCTGCTTCTCCAAATGTTAAAGCTAACAGAGAATTCACACTTTGACTAATAATAGAAGGTCTGGAAAAAAAAAAAAAAGAAGGTCTGAATGATTCAACAAAGGCAGAGTTTTAGCATCCAATGAAATGTGCAAACCTGTGGAGTCTCTGTATCTATTACTGGGAAACTTCCTTTTTATTAGGTCATGGGGGCAGAGGTTGGCTAGCACCAGTTTGCTGATCTCTGCCTCTCCCATAATTAACAACCTCCCTCTCCCATCCATTAACATATATAAGTTGCACAGCTGAGGGGTGAGGTCTCTTCTAATTATAATGAGGCTATATAATTCTTCACTTTGAAATATGTATCAAAGGCCACAGGTTCTGCGACCCTTGTCTCAATCTTCCAGGGTCCTGAATGTCAATCATAATCTTTGCTGCATAATACAGACCTGTATAGGGATTTCAAATTACAATCTTGATTAGAAATAGGAATAATAGATCTTTGTATCACCCAAAATTTCCATCTTAAAATAATTTTTTTGATCCAGGAATATAGGAGGGGAATGGGAAGTTATTGTTGAATGGGTATAGGATTTCAGAGTTACATGATGAAAAGAGCTCTGGAAATGGATGTTGGTAATGGTTACCCAACATTATGAACATATTTAATACCACTGAACTGTACACTTAAAAATGGTAAATTTTATATTGTGTATTTTACCACAATAAAAAGTACTGGAAGACAGCAGATACCCAGGACTCCAAGATGGCATCACTTGTATCAGTGAAGAAGAAACTCATGGATTTTAACGTTAAAACAGGGGAGCTGCCAATCTGGATATGAGGTAGGATTTTGCCCCCAAAGGCACTGCTGGAGTGTTTCAAAGAGTTACTAGTGGTATGACAACAAGTATGTCTACGTGAAGAGAGGAAGCACTGCTGGAGTTTCTACCGTGTTGGCAGCTTACAAACTTCAACTACTACCTTTCTTAGAAGGATCTCAAACATGAGCAGCTAAGCAAGTACCACTGAAGAGGGCCCAGCGCAGGCACACACTCTGCTTCCCTGCCGGCGACCTTTGCCCAACACTCCTCCTTGAGGAACACGATCACTGCTGAATATCCTAATTTGCAACAAGGACCAATAAAAGATAACCAGTACAAAAATGAAAAAAATACATTGGAAAACTTTTTTAAAGGACCCCTCCACATATACACAAATATGAGACTATTACTTACAGTATCTGCATAGGAATGATGTTCTATTAAATACCATCCAAAGAAGAAACCAAGTCTAGTATTGAAAAGTTTTGAGTCAGGTTATCCCAAGGCTTGGGAGGAATATCTTATGACTTGGTGGGTAGCCAAAGGCAGAATCAACAAAATAATGCCAAGTACTAAAAAATTAAAAGTCAAGCTTTAGAAGCAGCCCAGTCCAGCTGCCCTAACAGGGCAGATACACATGATGGGAAAGGCTGACCATTTTTTCCCCTCCCTACTTGAGGATGTTTTCCATGGGAGCACGTCTCAGCTGGAATTTGCTTTGCTAGCATGTATCATTTCATAAAAGTTACCTGTCATTGCCTAGCGTAAAATATGAGTGAAAGATGATTACAATGACCACCTTCCACATTCCATAGCTTTGTCTGAAGGGGAGGGGTTAGCTAGGAAAGCACACTCTTTAATTAAGAGACAATGAATCTAGAAAACACACCAAGGAAAAGAATAGGGCTGGCTATTTCCTCAGATTGTTTTGAGCCTAAAATTGTATTTTATGCAGCAATATTATACAGCAATTTATCTACCAGGTGTAGGCAAGCAAAGTCTTGATTCAGGAATTTAAAAACAAACAGTGAAAAATATCTCTAGAATAATATACAAGGAAGAGAGAGAATAGAGTAGTTCAGGGATGGGGTGAC